GCTCTGACATCCTGTGTCCTAAGGGCCCTCCCAGCTCTGACATCCTGGGTTCTAAGGACCCTCCCAGCTCTGACATCCTGTGTCCTAAGGGCCCTCCCAGCTCTGATATCCTGTGTCCTAAGGGCCCTCCCAGCTCTGACATCCTGTATTCTAAGGGCCCTCCCAGCTCTGACATTCTGTGTCCTAAGGGCCCTCCCAGCTCTGACATTCTTTGATTCTATAGATAACACTTTACACAGATGTAATACTTTACTTTTTACAAAATGCCTTCCCTTCTGTTGTCTCCTGCTGCCTTTGTATGTTCTGATGTCTGCTAGCCTAGTCTTTTACTGGCTTCTGCATCTTGATTTTGGCTGCTTCTATAGTCCTCAACTCCTGGACACTTGACCCTCTCCAGACTCCCAGCTCTGTTTGGCTTGCTGTACCATCCAGGGGTGACCTGCCCCTGTATCTGGTCCCTGGCCTTGCTATCCTGAACCTAGCTCTATCCTAGTCCTGGTCTTGGCTTCTTGCCCAGTCGCCGAGATTTCTCCAATCTTTCCTGCCATCCTGATGGGCCTTCCCGCTGCAGACCAGCCCATGGACGCTGTCATACGTTGCTGGAAGTTGGGGGGAAGGAACTTGAAATCATTTCTCAGGGGACTTATTTTCGCCTTGTGTCTTTGAACAGTTCACTACGTGAAGGCTTCTGCCTTGGGGTACACAATTGGCAACCTGAGCGAGGGCACTTTCTACACCATTCAGATCCGAGGAGACACGGCAACAACTTCTGGGGCATGGAGCCAGCCCCTGAGGTTTAAACTAGGTTAGCCTATTCTCTCCATTATTCTCCACTGTAGGCATCCCTCTGGGAGAAAACAGAAAGACCCTAGGAAGTCATCGTCTTTTCAATTGCATTTGAGTTTGCACTCTCTAAATCACACACACACACACACACACACAAATAAGCGCACACATACTCATGCACTCCCTACTCTGGATGACCCACTTACCATTTCCCTAAACAACCTGCTCCTGTTTACAGAGTGTTGTAAGGTGAATAGACCACTTTCCTCTCAGCTGCCTTTTGAGGTTGGGTTAGGGAAGGAACCCTCATTTTGTAGCAGGGGAAACTGAGGCTTAGAGAAGGAACCTGTCCCAAGGTCACATAGCTCCAAAGTGGCAGAGCTGGGACCAGAATCCAGGTTATCTGCCTTCGAGTTTTGTGAGCTTTCCAAAATGGCAGCCTACCTGCCATTTCACCTGCTCCCAAAGGAGTCTTAGAGACAAAGAATTGAACTGAATTGAATTGGAGGATCCCTCTAAAGGGTTTTAAAAGAAGAAAAGGATTTTCAACTGGGGACCAGGAACGGCAGAGAATTCACTCCAAGTGTGAAGGATGATTTATTCAATCAATGTAAAACAACAGAACTAAGCAGAACCTTAAAAAAAATAACAACAGCTATTATTTAATATAGTACTTTAAGATTTGAAAAATACTTTACAATGTTATTTCATTTGATCCTTATAACAACCTTGTGAGAGAAAAGCAATTATTAACCTCATTTTACAGAGGAGGAAATGGAGGCTGAGAGATATTAAGTGAGTTGCCAAGGTCATAATTAGTAAATGTCTGAGGCGGGATTTGAACTCTGATCTTCCTTACTCCAAATCCAGAGCTTTCTCTGTACATAGAATGTCAGAGTTGAGAGGAACCTTAGGACACAAAATGTTGGAGATGGGAGGGACCTTAGAATGCAGAATATCAGATCTGGGAGAGACCTTTGAACATGGAATGTTTGCAGGGGGAAAGGACCTTAGAGTTTATGTAATCCAAATGCCTAAATTTAGAGATGAAGAAATGAATCCCCAAAGCCACACCCTGAGATAGTGTCAAAATCAGGAACAGAATCCAAGTCTCTAGACTGCCTTGGTCTAGGGTTAAGTCAAGCTAGGTTTACCCTAGCTTCTCATTTAATTGGGATTCCCTTGAGATCATTTCCCAAACCAGGAATCTGTTTTTCCCTAGATGATAAAGTGGATCAGCCATTTCCCTTTTTCCTGCTGTGTGTGATGATATTTGCAGCCGTAGTCCTCATGGCCGGCACTGTATACTTTGTCATGAAGAGGTAATTCAAGGTTCTCTTTGCTCCATTGACCATTGTATTTCCTTGAGAATGTATTAACAAAATCCTGTCATGATCCCATAGGGTCAAAAGCTTCCTGTGTCCACCTCTACCCAATCCTTCTACCAGCAGCGCCACTAAGTTCCTTGCAGAGGATATGAAGCTGGTAAGTTCCTTTTACAGTCATTTTTCAGTTATGTCTGACTCTTCATGACCCTATTTGGGGTTTTCTTGGCAGAAATACTGAGTGGTTTGCCATTTCCTTCTCCAACTCATTTGACAGGTGAGGAAACTGAGTCAAACAGGGTTAAGTGACTTGCCCAGGGTCACGCAGCTAGTAAGCATCTGAGGCTAGATTTGAACTCAGGAAGATAAGTCTTCCTGGCCCCAGACCTGATACTTTATCCACTGTACCATTTAGCTGTCCCATAACAGCAGCAGCAGCAGCAACACCAGAACTCTACCATTATTCTTTGCTGATGTCTTTTCATGGAATAGGAGACCCTGAGCTCTTTAAGAGTTTGCCAGGGATGGGGCAGCTAGGTGGTACAGTGGATAGAGCACTGGCCCTAAAGTCAGGAGGACCTGAGTGCAAATCTGGCCTCAGACCAAACACTTGACACTTACTAGCTGTATGACCCTGGGCAAGTCACTTAACCCCAACTGCCTAAAAATAAAATTAAAAAAGAAAAAAGAAGAGTTTGCCAGGAAGGGCAAACCCCTGATTTCTGACCAGGTACCCTGGTTTCCAACCTTGAAGCTGTCCTCAACTCTTCCCTCTTCCTCACCTCCCATATCCAACAATGGTCTAGTCTGTTCAAGCCTTCACACACAACATCTCTCCTAGGTGCCCTCTTCTCTCTGCCACTGTGACTGCCCTGGTGCAGGTCTTCTCCATCTTCCATCCTGACTTTGGTAATAGCTGGCTGGGTTTTATCTCTCTCCACCCCAGGCCATCTTCCACTTAACTGCAAAAGTGATTTTCCTAAAGTACAACCTAACTATGTCATTCTTCTGATAAAAAATCAGTAATAAAAAGATCTAAGGTCAGATTCAAATTCTCAGGCTGCTATTGGAAGCCTTTTACCATCTGACTCCCAAGGGGCAGCTAGGTGGCACACTGGCACTAGAGTCAAGAGGACCTGAGTTCAAATGCAGCCTTAGATACTTACTACCATGTGACCCTGGGCAAATTACAACTCCAATTGCCTCGTCCCCCCAAAAAATACTAAAACAAAACAAACAAACAAACAAACAAAAAAACCAAACCAACAATCTGGCTCCCCCCTGCCTCTCTCACCTTATTTCCCATCATCCTCCTTGCCTGAGAGGCAGCACAGTGCTGGGGCTAGAGAGCCAGCCTTCAAGCCTAGAAGACCGAGGGAGCTGCAAGTCCTATCTCAGCCATATATTGGCTATGTGATGGTTACCCAGTCTCTCAACGTTCTAGGTCATCTAAGACCACGAGGTGAAGAGAAAGGGTCGACTTGCATTAAAAAAAAAGGGAGTTTCCCATACCAGTAAGATCACAAGGCCTGGTTCTGCCCTTATACCTGTATCCAGGCCCACATGCGCTGAGAAATACAGGGTTGCAGTTTTAAGCTATTAAAGCTTTAAAATGCACTAAGAATTTTGGGACAGTCTGTATATTCCAACAAGTGCAGAGAAGCATGCCCACACAGGTGACATTAGGTTTTGAAGGACTGTAAAAGGCAAACAAAGGAGATTATATAGTGATATTTTATCCTCAAGGCAATATGGAGCCACTGGAATTTATTGAGCTGGTGGTAACATGGTCAGATTTATATATATATGATTAGACTGCAATGGCAGTTCTGTGAGGGAGGGAGTGTAAGAATTATTGTTGTTCAAATCCAGTCTTAGACACTTAACACTAATTAGCTAGGTGACCCTGGGCAAGTCACCTAACCCTGATTGCCTCACCAAAAAAAAAAAATTTTAAAAAGGGGCAGCTAGGTGGTGCAGTGGATAGAGCACTGGCTGTGAAGTCAGGAGGACCTGAGTTTAAATTCGTCCTCAGACCAAACACTTGACATGTACTAACTGTGTGACCCTGGGCAAGTCACTTAACCCCAATTGCCTTAAAAAAAAAAAGAATTATTATCCCATTTTGCAAATGGGAGACATGAAGCCAAGAGAGATGGAAAATTATTTGACTAAGGTCAGACAACAGCTAGTTCTAAATATCTATATGACAATTCTCTGAATTCCTTTGCTCTGGTTGATTCTGGAGGATGGCCATCAGTGAGGTTCCCAGGTTATCTCGACAACTCTAGAGCAATGCTTCTTAAACTGTGGGTCACGACCCCATATGAGGTCAAGAAAAATTTGGCAACAGTAAAAGGTTTCTGACTGCTCCACAATCAAAAGTTAATTCCAAATCAAACATGTGATGAATCTGAGGTGTTCTGGGCAGTGCTTACGCATGCTATAGCATGCAACTTCACTGCAGCCTTAGTTCTGAACACGAAGCATGCCCACTTTGCACTGTGCATGCCCCTGGGCCATGCAGTGCCAACCAGATCTGCCAAAAAGCAGAAAGGGGTGCGAGCAGAAAAAGTTTAAGAAGCCTTGCTCTAGAGTTAGGCAAGCTGAACACCAACTCCCACCATCCAAGGAAGTTCTCTAAAAGAGAATGTCTCTGGAGACAGATAGAGAAAAGAAGAGAAATTGGAGCTGGCCTCTCATGACTGGCTCTCATCTGCTTACTTGACTCTTGGGTGAGGAGACCCAAGCTTGGGTTTATGACTTTCTCTGTTCTTTTCCCTGTTCTTTCCACAGGTCAGGCCATGGGTAGGATCCTCAGACACAGTGAAAGATGCTGGCCTAAGGGACCTACTGATTGTTGAGGTCAGCTCCCCCAAAGTGGAGCCTGAAGTGGGCTCTGAGGTCAGACTACTGCACCTTGAGGAGCCTAAGGGGATCCCAGACATCAAAGAGAGACAAACGGGTGGAGAAAATGACCCACCCCTGGACTTGGAGCTCCCTTCTGGCTACAATAGGCAGAATCATGTGGAAGTAGCTGGGGAGGATGGCTCACAAGACACCAGGCACCTGTGCGGGCAAGATGGTTGTGACAGAGAGAATATGGTGCCACTGTTCGTCTCTCCAGAGGCAGAGGTCCCTGGAAGGGTGTTAACACTTTCTCTTCTTTCAGTTCTAAGACCATCTGAGTCTTCAGGAAACTTGAATCTTAACCTACATGAGGAATAATCTTGCCTAGGTTGAACTAGAGATGGTGAACCTGAGAAGATGACAATGTCTTCTCAGGATGTCAGACATAGAAAGGACCTTAGAACATAGAGTGTCAGGGCTGGGAGGGAGCCTAGAACAGGGAACTTCAGATCTGGAGGGACCTTAGAAGATAGTGTCAGACCTGGGAAGGTCTTTAGAATCCAGAATATTAAGGCTAGGAGGGCCTTTAGGACACAGAATATTTGAGTTAGAAGAGTCCTTAGAAGAGAAAATGGGATCTTTGTGGAGTCAGTTAATGTCTCTGAAATTCCATGATTTTTCTATAATAGCTATGTTCTATTATATATAATTCTATAATAGTTCTGAAATTCTGTGGTTGTTTGGATTATTCTTCCTTGGAGTAAAATATGGAAATAAATGATGATAGTTTAAACCAAAATAAAAGGTGAGAGATGTAACAAAATAAACTTCTGTCTAATTTATTTCACCAGTAAGAACACGACTGTTGTTGCTTAGCCGTGTCTGTGTCCAACTCTTTGTGACCCCATTTGGGGTTTTCTTGGCAGATATACTGGAATGGCTTGCCATTTCCTTCTCCAGCTCATTTTACTTACAGATGAGGAAACTGAGGCAAACAGAGTGAAGTGACTTGCCCAGAGTCACATAACTAGTAAGTGTCTGAGACCTGATTTGAATTTAGGTCTTCTTGACTCAGGCTGGGCTTTCTGTCCACTGCGTCACCTGGCTCCTCAGAAAGGGATTGACAGTGTCCCTTCTGTATCAACTTACGTCTAGCTCAGTACGTCTTGAGTCATCACTCTTGCCAAGGGAACAAATTCTCCCAGTGGTCCTTGGCAAGGAGGACTACTGAGGTCTCCCCCTCTTCCACTTCCTCTTCTCAGTTGTAATTATCAAGGAAGCTATATACAGTGCTGGACCTGGAGTCAGGAAGACCCGAGTTCAAATCTGGCCTAGGACATTTACCAGCTATGGGCAAGTCACTTAACCTCTGTTTGACTCAGTTTCCTCATTTGTATAGTGGGGGTGATAATAATCCCATGGTTGTTGGGATGATCAAATGAGATAATAATTATAAAGTGCTTAGCACAGTGCCTGGTACACAGTAAGCACTATATAAATGTTAGTTTTTAAATTTAATTTAATTTTTATTATTCTTTTAATTATTATTCTTTTATTTATTTATTTTGTATTTTGTTTATTATTTTATATTATTTTATTTATTTATTTCATTTTTTTCTCAATTACATATAAAAACAATTTTTAACATTCATTTTTTAAAATGAGTTCCAAATTATCTCCCTCCCTTTTTTCTCTCCCCCCAAGAAAAATATGGATATGATATTAGGGGCTGTGAGGAAGGGCATTTCTGCCCAATGATAGGTTAGTCTAGATGCCCTCTGAAAGCCCCTTGGGGATTTGAGATCCTGTTGCAGTTGTTATCTAGGTGTTTTCAGGCATGTCCAACTCTTCATGATCCCATTTGGTGGTGGTGTTTTTTTGTTGGGTTTTTTTTTTTGGCAGAGATACTAGAGTGATTTGCCATTTCCTTCTCCAGCTCATTTTACAGAAAAAAACACAAATATTTTACAGAGGAAACTGAGGCAAACATGGTGAAATGACTTAACTAGGGTCACACAGGAAGTGTCTGAGGCCACATTTGAATCCAGGAAGATGAGGCTTCCTGACTCCAGGCCCAGCGCTCTGTGCACTATGGCACCATCTAGCCGCCCCAGATCCTGTGCATGCCCGATAATTTGAAGTGTAATCAACAAGGGATGCTTTTTCTTAGAAGGACTTGTGCTTTGGGAGGGCCAAATCAAATAAATAGAAAGCAGGATGGCCAAGTTCCTCCATCCCATGGTCTTCTTGTTTTACATCTCCTTTTGCTCTTCTGGCCCCTATGGGGCCCTCTACGGGCTGAGGGGGATGGGGGTCTGAACTGTTGGGCGCTTTACGTTTCACCTATTGCCTGGCGCTGATTTTGTAAACCAGGCGCATGTGCAGGAGGATAGCCACGAGGCAGTTATGCCAAAAAGCATCCCCTCTAATGGGCATTTATAAACACAGGAGAAGGGGAAGTAGGCCACAAGGACATTCTTGGCTGGGGTTCTACCTTCCTTAGGTTCGTTTATGCACTCCCAGGACTGACCCACACTTGGAAAGAGACTTGAATTATTGCTTTTAAGTCTCTCAAAAGGATCCCTCTTGGGAGCCGAGGACAGAGAGCACAGTCTGGCTAATTAAACAGGAAATGTTTCCTTCACAGTGTTTGGAAGTAAGCTCAGGGCACAAGCATCTGGAAAGAGCCCTGGCCTGGGATTGCTCAAACATTCTCAGTTCTATGTTCCAAGACCTCTTCTAGCTCTAACACTCCATTTTCTATGTTCTAAGGACTCTTCTGGGTCCACTGATAGTTAGTTAGAGGACCAGGCCTAGAGTCAGGAAGACCTGAGTTCAAATCTAGCCTCAGACATTTGCTAGTTGTGTGATACTGGGCAAGTCACTTATGCCTGTTTGCCTCAGTTTTCTCATCTGTAAAATGAGCTGGAGAAGAAAATGGCAAACCACTCCAGTATCTTTGCCAAGAAAACCCTAAAAATGGGGTCACAGAGAGTCAGACGAGACTGAAACGACTGAACAACAAAGGTGTCTTCTAGGTTCAACATTGTACCTTTTAGGGGCAGCTAGGTGGTGCAGTGGATAGAGCAGCAGCCCTGGATTCAGGAGGACCTGAGTTCAAATCCAGCCTCAGACCAAACACTTGATACTTACTAGCTGTGTGACCCTGGGCAAGTCACTTAACCCCATTGCCTAATCAAAAAAAAAAAGTTACTACAACATTCTACTTTTTGGGGCCCTCCCAGTCTTGATATTGTCAGTTTTATGGTCCCCTTTTCCTCTGATATTCTGTCCTGAGGGCCCTCATGGTTCCAATGGTCTATATTTTACAGGTCTTCTTAGTTCCAATGTACTCACCCCAATGGCAGCAGCCAACCCCCAACTCACTGCCCCATAGTGCTTTAAGAAGGATTGAGAAAGCATTTTAAATAAATCCTCTTTGGAAGCCATTGGATTCATCTGAAAGAGAAACCCTTAGAAAAAAGTTTTTTTCTTCAGTTCTGAAACAGTATGCAGTCGCCCTCTCTCTGATCAGGCCAGGAAGGATTCCTGAGGGGAGTAATTACAGCTGTGACTGGACAAGGCAAGTCATCTTTGATTAATTGACCTGAGAGTAGTAGCTTTCCCTCCCTACCCCCCAGGTCCCTGAAGGGGTTAGGACAGTGATCAGTGGGAGGAGGTCCCTGTGGTCACCCTAGGGGTGGGGGGCAGGGAGCACCCTGGGGGGGAGCATCCTGGAGTGGAGGAAGTATCCTAAAGTTAAGGGAGGGAGGAATCATGGGGGTGGGGGAGAAGCTTCCTGGGGGGAAAGGGGGAGAAGTGTCCTCCAGGAGAAAGGTCATAAAGGGATTGAATAGTTTTAGGAAAATGAATCTCTAAGATTAAGTGACTGTCATTTGGACTGATGAGCAAAACACTTTTACCTTACCCTGATTTGTGTTACTACAAATTGTCGTGTGTTAGACCAGGAGCTCTTAACCTGAGACCCATGAACTCAGAACTTTTAACATTTTAATAATTCTATTTCATTATAATTGGTTTCCATTGTAACCTGATGTATTTCATTTTATGTATTTAAAAACATTATTCTGAGAAGGTGTCCCAAAGATGTCATCAGATTGGCTGACAGAAGGGTTCAGGACACAAAAAACTTAAAGAACCCCTGTGTTTTAGAGATGCTGAGGGCAGGAGAGGGACACTTCCAGATGGGCAATTTCAAGAAAAATGCTTGGATTAGAATAAAAACAAATTAATAAAAATTGTTTCTGGTAGATTTGTGTCCACACTGCAGAGTACAGTATGAATATTTTTTCTTCAATACCATAGACACATAGGCTCATAAAATCATAACTCTAGAGCTGGAAGGTACTTCAGATGCTGTGTAATATGACCCCTTGAGGAAACTGAGGCCCCAGTTAGACACCATGTCTAAAGTAACACAAGTGGTATTTATCAGAAGCGGGATTTGAACACAGGTCTATAATTTAAGGTATCTTTCATTGATACCATTTTATGTTCCAAGGACTCTCCCAGCTCTGACATTTTGTATTGCAAGGGCCCTCCTAGCTTTGACATTCAATGTTTTAAGCTCACTTCCAGCCTTAACGGTCTATGTTCTATGGTTCCACCCAATTCTGTTGTTCTAAAGCTGGTTGCGTAACCATGAACAGGTCATTGGAATTCTCCTGGCCTCAGTTTCTTAGTCTATAAAATGAGGGTAATGGTGCCTGTCATGATTAACTAACAGAGCTGCTATAGGGCTCAGGTACAGAAATAACCCCTTTATCAAATTTGCGGATGAGACAAAACTGGCATCAATAAGGAACACACTGGATAATAGTCAGGATCCAAAGGAATCTTGACAGGCTAGAGCACAGGGATGACTCTAGTTAGAGAAATCAATGTAAAGTCTTATAATTGGGTTCAAAAAATCAACTTCAAAAGTAAAATTAGTGGATGTATGGTTAGATAACAGTTTAAAAAAAAAAGATCTGGAGGTTTTCATGGACAGCAAGCTCAATGAGTCATCATTGTGATGTGGCAGCCAGAAGAGTTATTGTAATCTTGGGCTGATTGGAGATGTTTAGCTTCTAGAAATAAAGTGACTGTCCTCTTAAGGGCAGCTAGGTGGTACAATGGATAGAGTTCTGGACCTGGAGTCAAGAACACTCATCTTCCTGAATTCAAAATCCAGACTCAGAGACTTAGTAGCTGGCTGACCCCAGGAAAATTACTTAACCTTGTTTGCCTCAGTTTCCTCATCTGTAAAATGAGCTGGAGAAAGAAGTGGCAAACCACTCCAGTATCTATGTCAAGAAAACCCCAAAAGGAGTCGGACGTGACTGAAAAACAACTTGATAACAAGAAGAGCCTCTCATACACTGGTGCACTGGTTAGCCCACATCTGGAACCCTGTGTTCAGTTCTAGGGTTGTCTTTTAGATAGGATGTTAACAAGCTGGAGAAAGGCCAGAGGAAGGCAATCAGGCTGGGGAATGGCCTTGAATTTGTACCTAGAGAAGATTGGAAAATAGCCATCTTGGAAACGGAAGAGGAATTAAACATTTGCTTGGCTTCTGCCCTAGGGCAGAAATAGGAGCCATAGGGAGCCGCAAAAAGGAAGGTTGAGTCTTGCATTAAAATCCTGCCTTAGGGGCCAGCTAGGTACCAAAGTAGATAGAGCACTGGCCCTGGAGTCAGGAGGACCCGAGTTCAAATCTAGCCTCAGACACTTGACACTAGCTGTGTGATCCTGGGCAAGTCACTTAACCCTCACTGCCTCACACACACAAAAAAATCCTTCCTAA